TGAGAGCTGAGATGAGTCCAGAAAAATCCAGTTTATCGATCAACACATCAGAATTAATGGTCTGGAAGTGACTAGAGGCTTTGGTGAAGGCTCTAAAGTCAAAATCCACTGGATGGCAGGTCTAGTGGCATATGCCGTAAATATTTGAAGGTTTTACCGCCTTTGGATTTAGATTTAGATTCTGAGGTTAGAGACCTCAGAATGGGCTCAAATTTGGAGGGTTGCCTCCAGAGACATGTCCCATCAATATACAACTGACAGACTCTGAATCGGAGGTCATTTGATTGGTTTTTGAAGTGTTTGAAGATTTGCTGAAAAAGGTTCTTAGGACTTGCCCTTTTAGCATTGGATTTGGGTCTGGATTTTGGATTTGATCTGGGTTTTGAGTTTGATAGATTAAGTTTGAATTATCCAAATCATTTATAATCATTTAGGGAATTATAAATGATTAGATATGTTTAAAGCTAGATCAAAGGTAAGATCTAAAATTGAACTGGAGATTAAGATCTGAATGGGTTTAAAGTCTGGATTTGATTGAAGTTTGAGTTGAATTAAGGTCTAGGCAGCTCCTAGGGTCTAAGAAGATCATAGGGTTTGAATCTAGGAGAGTATTAGGGTCTAGAATGGATCCTAATATCTGGATTGGTCTGGAAGCATCCTAGGGTCTAGAGTAGATTGGTCTGGATTGATGTAGGGTCAGGATTGATATGGAGTCTCGATGGGTCCCTAGTGACCTCATACAAAAATGAGGTCAACAATATGATAATTGTTCCTTATAGTGAGACAAGAAAATCTCCCAATAGGACCGACTGACGAAAATCACTCTACAACCTTCAAATCTTAATTTCTCTTTTCTCTCTCCTCATTTTTTCCTCTTTTTTGTCACATAACAAGTCTCTATTAAACGAATTAAAGGGATAATGTCATGTTAATGGATTATGTAGTGCATTTAGATATTTAAAATAAAATATTAATATAATTATATAATTTAATCAATTTTCAATATAGAATTCTAGCATTTTGAGAAATAATTAATATTCTAGCTATCATTTTGTTATATTAGTAAGGCAGACAATAATTAATATGCTCTTTCTTTTCCTTAAATATGATTTCAGTCATTTTTGATATGCTCAAAGCTCCAAAAGAATAATTTATTTTTAATGCAATGTCTTATCTAAAATCTTTCTTTCTCATTCTCCAAATTATTGCATCTGAAAAAAATAGTGTCCCCATTGAGCATGCAGAGATAAACTGCTAAAATGGTGTTTTTTTTAAACAAAACTAATATATTAAGATAAACAAAAAAGGTTACAACATCAATTGACCAAAAGTAAAAAAGAAAGAAGGCAAAATACAACCCAAAAGAGGGCTCAGTAATCGGCCGAGGCTCCCAGTATCCCCGAAGCCTTGCACGGACCATCCATTAAGGTGAAGATAGCGCCCAATATCCAACTAACTCTAAGAACAACACCAAAGGTTGCCACCAGCTCGACGACAAGGACACGAACCTCAGCCACATCATTGCCCCATAAACCAGCGCACCACCCAAGCGACCAAATGACCAGAAAGCCAATCCCGCAAAAATAAAGGGAAAAATACAGTATACATAAAAATTATCTTTTTCTCCGGCCCCTTCCACAAAATCTCCCACGATAAGCAACCTAGCTGACAAGCCTATCATGAACCAGAGTAAAATCGTTTCTAGGATCATAATCACCGCAAAAATCCGGAGAAACCAAGCCACAATCCGAAAAGTCGAATTTAGATTCAAATTCAGACGACCCATGTAGCCAATCCACATGGTTCCTAATATCAAATCCAGAATTATCACCCAAACGATTGACCATAGTATGTGTGTAGCAACAAAATTATTAGAACACACCGAATTTCCATTCATTTTATCCACCCGCACACACTCAGCATTATTGTCCACATTCACAGCCGGTTTACACGAAACCTCGACACCAAGCGACGAAGCTGTCGAATCATCAATCACAGCCACAACAACGCAACTATCCACAACATTACTAATATTAACACCAACATGAGTAATAAAGGGAGCCGAAACCACCCCAACCTCATTACCAGGTAAAACATCACCCCCAACCCATCAAAAGAAGCCATCGGAATAGGGGACCCCATAGCATCAGGAGAACAAACCGGAGATTCAATAGAGGGCAAGGCATCAACCTCCACAGCATTAATAGCAATATCACAATTCAAAACCCGTAGAGCCGAAGGAACTTCACCATTTACCACATTATTATCACATAGAGGGACAGAGTTAACAATCGGGATAGAAGAAATAACAGGGATACCAGAATTCACTAAGGGATTAGAAACAGAGTCCACCGACGGTGGAGCCGAGACCACAACCGGACGTAAATTAGGAAATAGCTTAGAACATTCCGACTTCTTATGAACCACATCCTTACAATGCTGACAGAAGTTGGGCACACCTTCAAAAACAACTCTTTGAACATACCCAAGTTTCTCCGGACCCAGCCAAAAAGATTCAGGATAGGTTTTAAAAATATCAATTTCAACAAGAATACGTGCGACTGAGGGACGCGAGCCAACACCCGTGGCATTGTCGGTTTGAATCGGGCAACCAAAAATAGAACCCAACCCAAAGAGAATACGAGAAGAAAAAAGGTGAGGACGCAAACCCGAAAAGGAAATCCATACAGGGACCGTCGGCGACTCCTCCGAAAGGTCCAGGAGAGGCGACCACTTAATAACTTTCATGAAACAGCCATAAACGAAGTAGGAACGATGAGCAAAAACCCTACCATAGTCAAGATCATTTCAAAGCTTGATCAGAACATTTGAGTGATCCAACAAAGTAACAGAAAAATCACCGGATAACTTAAGATTGAAAAAAAAACCTACGGATTGAATCCAAAACTGGCCGCTTAAGGGGAAATTTCCCCACCAAAGCAAACTCAAAACTCAAAAGGTTTAGCAAGATGCAAAAATTCTTCTTCCGAAAACCACAACGCTGGCATACCTCGAATCGTAGAGATGCGAAAATTCGAAAAACTCTTCGAATCAACAAAACCAGACAACACATATTTGAAGGACTTGGAGTGCTTACCCTCAAGAAAGCCAGGATCCAACCTTTTATTCGCCATGAAAAACAAGGATATCGAGGACGGAGGCGAAGGCGGCTAGGGTAAAAGCCCTAGCGAATAGGGAAAAACCCTAGCAGACGACTGGCGTGAAACATAATTTTTTGACATGTTATTGAGTGATTATTACTAAAATGGTGCTTTCTCTTACTATTTTCTCTTATTCAGTTCTTACTTTCTTAATTAAAAGAGTTTTGAGAAATTTAAATGACTTTCTAATTTGTTTTCAGTTTTACTATTTTGCTCCTTCAGATTATTTTCATGACTTGCATTTGTTTCGGAAATGGGGAATTGAATCAGATATGAATTCTATTTTTTCTTCCCAAAATTGAGTGATATGAGGATGCCATGTCATCGAGTGGATCTATTCGAACCGGTTCAGCCAATCAAATCCACCTGCTCTCTATTGTTATATGTTATTTCTTTCTCTTATTGTAATTTGTAGTTTTCTTTAATAATTCCCTCTCAAGAGACCTTGAGGTGGCCTTACTCTATAAATATAGGGCTTTCTTCTCTCTTATATTCAGATTTTGAGATTTAGATAAGTTACAAAAAAAAAAAGCCAAGTTGTTCTAGTTTCTTCTGTATCTTGAACTTCTTCAGATGATGTTCGCTTACTTCTCCTCAACAAACTCTTTCTTCTTCTCCTCTATCCAGCGTATTGTCATAACATACAATTTGCCATTTGTTAGAAGCACTATTAGTGGAATGAATGAACAAAACATAATTAGTTCGATCTATAATTTGTTACAATCGAATTAGAATTATTGTTGTTTCAATTTAGTTGTTTGTTGGATGTGGAATGCAAAAATTTTTCATCCTAAATTAGTCCTAATTATCAATCTAATTATCATATTACTATGTTGGGTGGAATCACTAAAAATATGAATCATTTTACTATTATTTTGAATGTGGTTATAAAGATAAGAGATGTGATTACCCAAAAAGAATAGTATCTTCCAAAGGAGCAATTACTTTAAAAATTATATGTGAAGATATGTAATCTTTTGAGATTGCTTAGTGAAATCCTAGTCGATAATTAGCTAGGCGTGGAGGTAGGCTAATTTTGAAATTTGGCCGGACCACATAAAAATATTGTATCTCGTCTCTTTTTTATTTTTCGTAGGGCTTGTGTTACTTGTGTAATTCTGTGTTCCAAGCAGGTTCACCACTAAGGGTATGTTTGGGATAGCTTTTTTACTGCTTCTTAAAGCGGATTTCTAGTATAAAAATTTTAATTTTTGTACTAGAAAGAAGCTTTATGAAGCATGAAGAAAATCGTCCTAAACGAAGCCTAAGTTTCAAGTGTGTTATAAGAACTTTAAGAGTGTTTTTATGCAAAATGATTCACAAATAATAGATTATATATATATATAAGTATATTTGTCTGAATAAAGCTATTATGAGGTACATTTAGGCATCATTTGGAGCCGCTTCTTACTGCTTTAAGAAGCAGTAAGAAAGTCGCTCCAAATGAAGCCTTAGTGCTTTGTTTGAGACGGTTTTCTTATTGCTTCTCAAAGCAGTTTTTTAGTACAAAAAAAAATTCACTAAAAAGTTATTTTAAGAAGCAGCAAAAAAGATGTCTCAAACGAAGCCTAATCAAATTTCCTTATTTTTATATTTGTATAAGTACCACCAAATTCTTCTATATTTATATTTCAAGAACATATATCTTCATATTTACTTTAATAATGCAATAATTTTTAATCACATTAAAAATATCATTAATTTTAATTTATGAAATGTATTTTCTTATGAATAATTTTAAGATATTTTAGACACTAATCTATTATTAAAATAAATAACACTCCAGTGTTATTTGTGTAAATCTCTCAGTAAAAAACGATACGCCATTTTCGTATGCTGAGGGATGTTTAAACTTCTTTTTCGCTTGATCGCGCAGAGAGGAAGAGAAAGATGGAAGTGGATCCCTTCCTCCAAAGCTTTGATTCATCCGATCTCCAGATCGCGAAGGAGTTTCTCACGAATTGGCTGCCCTTCCTAACCAAGGATCTCTGCGAGGGGTGCGCGGCCTCTCTTCTTGACCGAATCCAATCACTCAGTCCAGGTGCTGGCATACGATTTTGCTCCATTTTCGACTTCTTTCTCCTCTTTTATAGTTTATCGTTTCCTTCTCCTCTGACTGGTTATGAGTCTCGGTTTTGTGCAGTAGATGAGCAGCGTAGGTACGACCCCGGGGAAGAGGAGGTTGATGGCGGAGGGGAGGAATCGGGCTTAGGTGCCGGCGAGGAGAGATCGAGTATGGCTGTAGGGGCTGATGAATTCTGTAGAGCTTCTACGGATGGATGGGAGCATATCAAGGCCACGGGTTGGGATACAGATCCGGCGACGGAATCGCCTAAGGTGCGTATGTCCTGGGCAGATGAATTGGAAGAAGAGGAAGAAGAGGAGGCGAGGAAGAACAGTTTGGAGGATGAGATGGAGGAAGGAAAGGGAGAGATGAGGATGAAGAAAACCGAGCTTTCTAGAGAGCAGAGAGAACGGATACGATTTTCAAGCGTTGGAAGGAAGAAGGACTTTGTTTGCCTTGAGAGGATAGATGGAAAGATAGTGAATATTTTGGAGGGTATTGAACTGCATACTGGTGTTTTTAGTGCCGCGGAACAGAAGAAGATTGTGAACTTTGTGTATGAACTGGAAATGAAAGGGAGGAACTATGAGCTGGACGGTAAAAATACTTCTCCAAAGGTTTATTTTTCTGTTAAATGGAATATTTTCAATCTAGAAATCTGAATCCAAAGCCTCAATGCTTAGGTTTCTTATTCCCTTCAAATTTTAATTTTTTCTCTTATGTGGAAAATGTCATGTGCTATTCTCTTCATTGTTTTGTCTACAAACTAGTTTCTTTTGTATTTTTCATGGGAGTCTTCTCATGCTGATCGTCATATATTGTCATGAAAAGCTTATTATGATTCATTTTTGTTTCAAAAATTAAGTACCTTTATATTGAAAATCTATTTCTGTTGACCAAATTTCAATATAAATTCCTGCAGAGCAAACATATTCCGAAGAATCTGATTCCAGAAATTATTTGCGCGAAGCAAGTTCCACAATCCAATTTGGATGTTGTTATAACAATGTGATTCTACTATCACCTTCCTTATTATTCTTTCACGAATCTCCAAAATGTATATATTAACTGCCATATTCATGACAGAAACAAAATGAAAATCCTTCGGGCATCCTTCGCAATTCAACAGCTAATCCTATACCAAATATCTTCAAGCTTATGATAAAAAGGTTGATTGGATGGCATGTGATGCCTGTGTCTTGTGTACCTGATAGCTGCAGTGTTAATATCTATGAACCTGGCTATTCTGTGCAACCTAATATTGAGAGCCATGATTTTGTTCGTCCATTCTGCACAGTTTCATTTTTAAGTGAGTGCAATATGGTTTTTGGATTCAACCTGCAAGTTGCTGATGCAGGGGAGGTGAAGGGATCAGCTCCAATCCCACTTCCAGTTGGGTAAGTATGTTTAATATATTTGTATGGTGATTACTTTATTAATATGTTTTGTAGTAGGAATTGAAATCAACTGTTTTTGTATTAATCTATTGTAAATGTGGTGTAAGTTTAGATCTGAGTTTAAAAAAAGTGCAGAAAACATTGAAAGGGATTTTTTTTTTTTTTTGAGAATTTTCATATATGAAAATCTCTTCTGATGATCAAAATAAGGAGTTGGTTTAAGCACCTTTTAGCAGTAAATTGCAGTTTGCCCCTTTGTGTACTTGATATTGTTTTATTTTTGTGCTTAAAAACTTCTTGTAATGAATAATTTGATGTATTTATCACTACTTACCTCATTGTTTTAGATTTTTTGTGAGTAAGATTACTATCTTATAATATTAATCTTTTTTAGGTCTGTGATCGTTTTAAATGGTAATGGAGCTAATATTGCAAAGCATTGGGTACCAGCAGCCCCTTCTAAAAGGTGATGTCAATCATCCTTAGTCCCATTCTCAGATCGAAATATAAGCTCAAATGCATCTTGTTCTAATTTTTCAAGATCGATATGTGCAGGATATCTATTACTTTTAGAAAAATGGCTGAGAATAAACGGCCACTTGGGTTTAGGCTCGAGCCAGATTTACAAAATATCCAACCATATGATTTAGGTTCAGCCACCGAGTCCCAAACTGAGAACAAGGAAAAGGAGTCTTTTGTTGAGATCAGAACAATGGGGAGAGGGAAGAAGTTCAATGGAAGATCTAACGGACCGAGAGGTCGACGAAATTTCAGGAATGATGGAGCTTCTGCTTCTGTATTCGATCGAATAACTCCTGCAAAGAAATTATCTCATTCATCAGCTGATGCAGACTTTACAAGAAATCATAGTACTGCAGAGAGAGCAAGGAATTCCAAATCTTTCTTTGCACCAGAATATGAAGCAGATTTACAAGATCATCCAGATGAGACTGAAGAGCTTCAGGAGAGAGTTCACCATGGTTGGATGAATGAAGAGGGTGGCCATTATGATCGGAATAAGTTCTCGAATGACAGGAGTGTTCGAATGGAGCAGAAGCGGATCATCATAACTCGTAATATAGACAGAGAAGATGATTCCTTCAGCAGGAGAAGTCCTGAGTTTAACCCAGTTCATGCTCCTCAGGTAAGAATCAGAACCCTTAAGAACCATCAAAGAAGGGTGAGGATGAACCAGTAATTCTACTACCATGCATGGCTGTGTCATCACAAGGAGATCCATTAATGTTGAGTGAGTTTTCTCTTGTGAAATAGCCATAATTTGATGTGGTTGATCATCATATTCATTGTTATTTAAACAAAGCTATCGCTTGGTGGATCATCAGAATCATTATTATCCAATTATGCAATTAATTTTGAACAAGCAGAAATGAATTTTTTTTATTTCAATCTAACTTATTTAGCCCAAAAAATATAGATTTTAATAGCTTTTATAAAGTTGTTACTAATAATATGCCAAGTATCTTTGAAGAATTGAGATATTATTCTGTGCAATGTCTGAACGTATCCGGAGGTTAATCCAGACGCACCATATCATCCAATGCATTATACATTGGGTGACATAGCGCATTTGAATCAAATTCCGGATGCGTCCGGTGGACACCGCACGTAATAATTTTCCTAGGCTTAGAGACTTTGGAGAAATGACGAAGAGAATCAACTCTAGAAACAATAGAGGATACAAGAGAAAGGGAAGCGATGAGAAACTCAAACCCTATATGAGTTTTTTTTTTTCAAGCCAATATTCAGTTCACTCAATCTGATTCAAGATTGAATCAATTTTAGTACTAAGATAAATTAATCTTTAATAATCTCGTTAATTTTGCTGGAGCAATCCTTAACCAAACTTAAAATTCTGCGACGATCAAAGTGAGCCATACTAAGCCAAAATATTATTCGATCAAGTTGAAATATAAAGATATACTTAAAAAATTAATTAATTTATTGGGACGCTATTAGGCTGGATAGAAGTTATAGCTTAAAATAAATTTTGAATATTACGATTTATAATATTTTTTTAGTCAAATTTTTATTTTTTTACTTTTAAATAACTGAAAACAACAGATGTTATTATCTATTTTTCTCCCAAAAAAAAATATTTGTAATATCAATAATATTTTTTTCTTCCCCAATAATAACTTTACAAATATCTTTCAAAAAAGCTATCGCAGTCCCATAAAGCCCTAAATGTAACATCTCAGCAATGTGCCTGGGCAGTAAGTAATACATTAAGATAATCATCCCAGAAGCTGAAGCAATATTTAGACTTCGTTTGAGACAGTTTTCGTATTATTTTTCAAAACAGTTTTTTAATATAAAATTTGTAAATATATAAAATTTTTGTACTAAAAAGTTGTTATAAAAAGCCGTCCCAAACAAAACCTTAGGCTTCATTTGGAACGACTATTTTAAAGTTGTATTAACTATTTAGAAACAATATAAAAGTTGTTTTAAACATAGACTTATTATAGCTGCTGTCATTATATATGCCATCTGCTCCATACATCCATATGACAACCAAATCTTCATATTAAAGAGGATTTATTTGGTAACCCTAACACTAATATTTCAGTAGAGGTGTCAATATTTGACATGACCCGAAAATCCGATTCGAACCCGATCCGAAAATTTCGGGTTAGGATTCGGGTTCAACATTTTGACCCATTTCAAAAATCGGGTCAGGTTCGGGTTAACCCTTTGACCCAAAATTGACCCGAAAGTGACCCGATTTTGACACAAAAACCTAATTTTGACCCGGCAACCCGAGATTGACCCGGTTTTGACCCGTAAAGAGAAGACTGATCCGTTTTTTACCAAAAAATTTGCAATTTTCTTGTTGGAAACGGGTCATTCGGGTCATATCGGGTTGACCCGGACCCGAAGCGAGTCGGGTTCAGGTCCGGAAAACCGACCCGTTTTTAAAAAATGGGTCGGGTTCGGGTTGACCCGAATAGTGCCGGGTCAGTTTCGGGTTCGACCCAAACCCGACCCGTGACCCGAAATTGACACCCCTATATTTCAGCACCTTGGAAGGCATGGTTGGCATGATAATTGCATGACATTAAAGGTGTGACAAGCAAAATTTTTCACTATGCATGCAAGCAGAACAGCTAAATGCAGAACAAAACTGACCATATTATGCATTCAAACGTTAAAAATATTAGGCAGTGTAAGGAAACCTACATCTGGTTATTTATACATATATCAGTTACTAGCAGCAAACTTTCTTGATTTTTTAGCAGCTATTCTCAGAAGTGGCAGCTGCGTTCTATATATGTATGTTGGAAGAAAGAGGTCTATCTGACATACACAATTCAAGGAAAACGCACCATTCACCTGGTTGGTTAGCGCCAAGTCTGTTATCTGGGAAAAGACTATTTAACGCTGCTGCTTTCTATTAAGCGCTTTTCGACTTCCTGTCAACACAACAGATCAGCACATTTTATTTCCATAATCAGCTTTCAAGTAAATAGAATTTCTAATTTGCAGGATGTGGAGTATCTTATGACCAAATAAGCGACATAAACCTTCTTAGCAACTTGCCAGTTTAATTGTAAAATTTTTATTTTCAACAACAAAATATAACTTCTTCAAAAAGTCCTTTAAAATGGCTTAACAAGCATTCCAGTAGAGAATTTATACTTAAGACTTTTCACGAAACACAATTGCCATTTTGGTTGCTTGAAGTTAGAAAACATAATTAAAAAAATAATTGAATTTATTAAATTCATCATTTGGTTGGATAAAGCAGACACTAACATCTATTTTAGACTTCAGATATCTCCTCAAAACATCTCATCTAATTACATCATCACACTCAAAATGGGTGTAAATAAAATCATCATTTTCTAAATCATATTTCATGTCCAAAAGACTCAGACTTCGTTTGGGACGGCTTTCTTACCGCTTCTTAAAGCAGCTTTTTAATATAGAAATTAATTTTTTTTAATTAAAAACCTGTTTTAAGAAGCCGCAAGAAAGCTGTCCTAAACGAAGCCTAAATGGGTCCTTGTAAAAGCATCTTAATGCCTCCACATCAGAAGTATCTTAGAAGGAATGAATAGGCCATGTTTTTTTATAACGAGTCCACCATGAACATCAAATCTATCCCTCACGATGTCCTCAATAAGGCAAAAAACTAAAGTATCTAATGCAACCTATAATGGGCTTTGGGATTGGTAATGATGCATGGGCATGGTATTGTGGATATGAGGTTCTTCCACACACATTACATATCTTAACCAAAGCCTTCTGTCAACATCACTGCCCCGTTGGATTGCCTGTTGGAACTTAGGGCCAGTCTAAATGATTCTACAATAAAACGATTTTGGTTACAACCTTTTCAAAATATACTTTCCTCTATCAAGAACCTAACCCATAGTGTAGAAGACTAAATTGAAGTTGCTCCTCCGACCTTCAAAGCGACCAAGTTATTTTTCTTAAAGTTTAAACTGGATGCATCGCCAATGCGGACATACGGACTCCTTCAAACCAGCACTACGCATTGAATTTAATTCATGCTACTTTATCTTAAAAATTCACCAAGTCTGAGAAATTATCTTAACTATATCTCGTGTTATGCACAAATTCTAGCCTCATTATTTTTAGTTGACCACTCTTTCTTCGTGATTTTCACATTCTAAATTTTATTTACTCCACAATTTGACCCTCCATTGCACATGCACAAAGCATTCAATTCTTCTTCTACAATCTTACCTCCATAGGTACTAATACCATTGTTCGACTAATATAATCATTTCACTTTATCATTCCTTCTTCTGTATATGCATTTTAACATTTTTATTTTACGCATGATCAGCTTGGCTTTTAACAACTTCTACGCTCATATTCACATAGCATAATTGATCTAACTTATAAAATTACCTTCAAAATATCTAGGAACTCTTTTCTTACACTCATGAACCCCTTCTTCATTTTAATCACCTAACTTTAGCTCCAATAAATTCATACTTTTTATTAATGCGACAGCAAAAAAACTACATGTTATCATTTCATTTCTTGAATAGACAAACAAACCTTAATTTCTCTTGAGTTGACCTTGCCATCATTGGCCTTCCTCTTGTGAATAATTTAATGCTTTATGAATACTTGATTTTGCAATGTAAGAAGGTTGAGTTTGACCTTTACACCAGAGAATCACATTTTGGAGAGGCTACAAGCAAATCCTATATTCCCTTACTTTAATAAAGCATGGGAACTTCCATAAGGTTTTCATATCATATCGGGTACGTTTAAAGATAATTCAAACTATCAAACACTAAAAAATTGAAGATGTGTTGAACACACTACACATTTTGTCAAATTATAAAATCCATAGCACTACTTGAACAATCTTCAATATGATACAAGCATGTGATGGGCAGATTCTAGACATGAAATGTCACTCTAAGGGATCATTAAAAAATGGACGCAATTATTTGAAAAATAGATGTCAAGTTGTTGAAAAAGTAACTTTCTCAAAAGTTGTTTTGGCGTCATATTGTTTCTTATTTGGGAAAAAATTGGACATCAACATTTTTACAGCTACCTCAGTCTAGCAAATCTTGTTCTAAAAATAAAAATAGTAGCTAAATAGATGCAAGAAAATAATTTGAAAAATAAAGCATTGAAAAAAATATCCCATACTCCATCTTTTTCACATTTTCTAATATTGCTGCGCATTTTCCAAAATTTTGCACATTATTCGCTTTCTCTCTCACTTTTCATGTCTAGCTCTCATTGCCACTTGAACCATTCCTATGATTTGAGCTTAGCGCTATAATTACAAAAAATTTATCTTTGGACATTTATTACAGACTTTGATATTGAACAATATATATAGATGATCACACGTTCCAAAAGCACATGCATTAAAATTTTCAAGAATTTTCATGGTCAAGCTTGCATCATGTCGCTGTGCTGTGTTGTCTCCTAATCCTGCATTGGTTTTCACCTAATCCAGATTAAAGCATACGTTACACAATCACCTCTCATCGCTCCATGTAATCTAAGACTCTGATGCCAATAAAGAAACATAAAGGGGTAGAATGATGAGAGACAGATGTTATTTGAGACTTTTGAGTTAAAGCCACTGACACAACAGAAAAGAAGTGAAAAAATATCTTAGAGGAAGCTTGTGTTACATCAATGGCTGATATTGGACTTTCAGTTTACTAAAAATGATTACATGATTTTAGGCGAGTTGAACAAATACAATGCAATCAAAACTTTAAAAAATGCCCAAAATCTATTATAATTGAATAATCCATATTCAACTTTAAAAACAAGTAAACCTTCGATACAAATGATATAAATCATTTATAAACCATAGGACACTATTTAAGGAAATAAATAGCAAATAAACAAGAGAAACAATGTTGACAACTCCTTAAATATTTAACAAATGGTAACTTTAGCTTAATGGAAAAGTATAATAAATTTTGTAAGTAAAAAATAATACATATATACCTTATCCTCTTCATCATCTTACGTGATGCTAACTTTTAGCGGACAATATTCTGATGCAAGCAAAAATTTGGGAAGGGCCCCAAATTTTTGCAAGCAAAAACTAAACTCTTCCTAGGATAAGAAGATACATAAAATACTAAGAAAACACCTTTTATATCATAAAAATATACTTACAAGACACTTACAAAAGGACTTACAAACTTTCAAAACATAAACTCCTAAAACTGCATTTCAACCGTTGAGAAGAGGGATACAGGTGGGGTGGTCACTTGCGGATAGAAGAAACAGATTAGAAGACTAGACGAAGTATAGCTCGCAAGCTATAGAGAGGAGAGGAAGGTGAAGGACATAGCTCGCAAGCTATTCTAAAGAAACCCGGTTTTATCCAAAAATCATCATCACAACAACTTTTTTTGACAAAAAACACAACATATTTATAGGAGAGAAAGGGGAGACAAACAGCCACTTGAAACCAATTAATTAAGGGGAAGAGGAAGGCCAAAAGACATACAAGGACAGCAGCTGAAAAACCACCCAACATGCCAAATACATCCACAAAAGACAGCAAGGAAAGCCACGGGAAGCACAACCAATTAAGGGGAAGAGGAAGGCCAAAAGACACCACAACAACCCCCATAAACTGCACAGAAAACAGGGAGAAAAAGCCACGGGAAACCCAGCCAGCAAGCCATGGGAAAGCAGCTAGAGAGGGACCCGAGGAAACAACACAGGAAACGGGGCAGGGGATTCACGGGAAAGCAGCCAGGGATAAATCCCAAAAGACAACTAGCCATAGCTTTTATTCTCAAAGAAGAAATCAAAGAGACATAAGAATGGGAAGAGGTAGCATAGGGGAGGAAATCAAGGAGTCAAAGGCAAGGGGGGAATGATCCAAATAAAGATAATTTATGAGCTAGGAAGTGCAATTATACCTCCAATTAATGAGCTAAAACATCAGCTCAAATATTTATGAGCTAAAAACTAAGTAGAACCCAACTTTTTTAGCTCAAAACCAAGCATCCAAAGCCCACCCGAGAGCAACCAAGGCCCCAAGCTCATCAGTTATAGTTATATGCTTGATAAATACAATATAATAACTTTCAAAACCTTTTTTTGAAATTGCGCAATATGAGGCTCGCCTTGAGGCCCGCCTTTGCGCAATTCCAGTAAAAAACGCCTCAATGCTTATGCCTCGAGTTTTTTTTATGAGGCTTGCGCCTCAATTTGGTTGAGGCCCGCCTTGAAGCCCGCCTCGCCTCCCTGGCATGAGGCTTACGCCTCACGCTATATATATTAAAACTTACATAAATCTTGAAGCAAATGCCCGACATTGGACTCTATAGGAGAGGAGGAAGGGGAGAGAGCAGTTCATCATAATGATTATTCAAATGAAGAACTCCTTAGTGATGACAGTGCTGATGACTTATGAGTTCTTATGTGATATGTCATTGCTATTTATTTTTGGAAATTAGAATTATATGTTAATGAAAAGAATACTGGGATTTGGGAAAGATAGAATTTTGAATTGAACTATATTTCATGTTGTCTTATTATTGGGATATTTTGATTTCACTTCATATCTCATGTTTTTTTTTTATGTTTTATATTATTCACTCATTAGTATATATTATATAAAAATTTTATCATTTTATGTAACGCAATCTTTTGATTTTGAGGAGGCTTACGCCTCAAAACGCGTTGAGGCTTACGCCTCGCCTCACGAATGAAAAACGCCTCAATACCCAAATACGCAATTTTAAACATTGTAACTGAGACATTAGGCCGTTATAATTTAGCTCTATCTTTCCAACAATTTTTATTTTTTTTCCGGTGAGTTCATGTACATTTGACTTTTAATAGGACACAATGGAGAAAAATGATTCATGTAGCCGACCTCACATAATAGGATAAAGGCTTGATGTTTTTGTTGCTGTTGTGGTGAGTTCATGTACATTGCAGGGAAACATGGAGATTAGAACTTACATTTAATATTCTTATCAGCATAAAATGGAATACCAAAAGGAGAACATGGTAAACGAATTCTGACTTCATTTTCCTTCAACCCCACAACTTCATCGTAGGGGCAGTAGAAATATTGATCAAAACATCAGAAGGTTCAACAGTGACAAAATAATGGATGAAAAGGGGTGACTGATGCTTTCCTACATTGTATCAATCTTTTTTACTTTCCCCTCCGTGAACTCTATTTTTATGTTTTTTTCTTATTTTCTTTCTATAACTGTCTATAAGAATTCCATGCATAAACTACTGTGCAGTTTAGGTCTCTTTAATTTGAAGGAATTGAAATAGAGGCAATAAAAGAAAAAAAGAAAATAGAGATGGTAGAAAGGAATTGAATTAAAATTAGTTTTCACACATGTATTTCATTGAGAATAAATTAAATTTAAAAAAAAAAAAGATAAAAACTATATTGATTGGTTAATGAAAAGTTGAGTTTTTGTTTCTTGAGGAGACATGAATCATGGCAAAACCAGGTAAATTTTTCTGCCCAACTTTTTTACTAGGGTTGTGTATGAAATTGTGAATGAAAAAAATGCATTCGATCATACGCCTGAGTAAATCAATTACCTATAAATTATATTCAAATCAAACATTCAATAAGATTGGTAAATACATTCCATCACATCTATTCAAACCAAACATTTTCTTAATGTATTCGAGTGCCAAACCTGGAATTCAAAAACCATTGTGAATGAATAGCAAGAAGAAGCAAAGCAGCTCAAGTCATCACTTCAAACATCATGGTTATATCATAGGTCACTACTCATTGGCAAAGATTCAAAGGAAATGAAAACATCCCTAGAAGAAAACATCTCGTAATGCTGAAATGCTTGAGAAGCTACTAATCTTACGAAAGTGGACAGACCTTTGCATTGAGATGTTGACATCACCACGGTAGCATTTCCAGCACGCGAGCCATCCTACAGGCACAAAGCACATAATGCAGAGAAAACAAAATAAAACAAGTATGGAAAATGGTGCCTTTTGCAGGGGCATGCTGACATTACCACAGTAGCAGTTCCGGCAAATGATCCATCCTGCAGATAAGAAAAGTACAAAAATAATAAAATATTCTATATGAGACGTTTATTCAAATCCTAAGGCCTGAAACAGGGATTAAACTTTAAGTACCTAAAATAGCTATAGGCCATTTGATGAATGCGATCAAAATTAGTGGACTTCACGAATGCAAAGTAATGTGAATGGAGGAAGCAGACCTTAGCTCACTATATAGCTTGCCTAGTTGAGAACAAGGGTCACAAGATTGAATCATGAAAATAAATTTCTTTATTTTTTAAAAGTTAAGGTCATGTGTATGAATGAGAGGAGGAGTGTTTTGGTTCATATTTTAAGGAATAAAGGTGATGCACAATAAAGGAATTAAGTTAATGTGTCATACAATAAGAATTATGGGAGAGAGTAATTGAGCATAGGTTACAATGTGATGCCAATGTATCTCCAAATCAATTTGGATTCATATCGGGTAGGTCCACCATGAAAGTTATACATTTGCTGAGAAGATTGATGGAGAAGTATGGAGAGAGTGAGGATGATCAACCTATGATATTTAATGAGTTACATAAAGCATGTTATAAAGTTCCAAGATAAGTACTCTAAAGAGTTCTAAAAAAAGGAATTAATAATACTTATATTCAAGTCATTAAAGATATGTACGCATGAGTTGTTACTTGTGTTCAAATACAAGGTGGTTTGACCAATTATTTTCCTATTTCAATTGGTTTACACAAGGATCAGCTTTAAGCCCATCTCTTTTTCTTTAGTCATGGATGTTCTTACTAGACATTTGCAAAAGGATTTGTATGTTTTTTGCTGATGATATTCTTCTTGTTGATAAAACTAGAGAGAGAGTTGATGAAAAACTTGAATTATGGAGGTCAACGTTAGAGCCTAAAGGTTTTTATTTGAGTATATCTAAAACCGAATACATTGAGTGTAATTTTAGTAGTAATAGATCTAGAGGCGGGATTGTGACATTGGGTGATCAAGTCATCAAAAAGTGCATGTTTTATATATCTCGGGTCTATTGTTCAAAACGGTGGTGAAATAAATAGGGATATTATTAGTAGAACTAGAGTTTGATGGTTGAAGTGGAGGAATGCATCAGGCATGTTGTGAGATAGAAAGGTACCCCTCAAACTTATGGGAAAATTTTATAAGATGGTGATGAGACTTGCAATACTTTATTGCGCAGAATGTTCGTTAGTAAAGACAAGCATCAATTAAGTTACGGGTTGCAGAGATGAGGATGCTCAGGTGGATGAGCGGCTTTACACTTAAGAGACAAAATGTGAAACGACAAACGAGTACATATGTGAAAAGGTTAGAATAGATTCAGTGATGGATGAGATTAGAGAGAGTTACCTTAGATGGTCTATTCACATGAAAAGTCAACCTTCCAATGACTTGGTTAGGAGAGTAGATGTATTAGATTTGATCTATATTAAGAAAGTTAGAAGTAGACATAAAAAGACTTGGTTAGAAAGTGTTAGAAATGACATGTTTTTATTAAATTTAAATGAGAATTTGACTATTAATATGCAACAATAGACAAAAAAGATTCATCAAGTGGGATAAGGGCTTGTTGTTATTGTTGTTTGTTGTAAGGTCATGTGTATGAAGTACAGATTTTCCATATTCAGTTCATAAATCTAAAAGACCAACCGAGAGAACTTCTCAGATTTTCCCATATTCAGTTCATGAATCTAAAAGACCAACTGAGAGAACTACTGCGAGTATGGAAATGCTATATTAACAGATTCCTTCAGAGAAAACTGCACATGAGGCAAGCATCTATAGTGATTCTGACTTCGTTTGGAACGGCTTTCTTACTGCTTCTTAAAGCGGCTTTTTAGTGCAATTTTTTTAAATTTTGTACTAAATAGCTGCTTTAAGAAGCAGTAAGAAAGTCGTCCCAAACGAAGCCTCTATCATGAAAGACCTACATCAATATATTGATGAAGAGAGATTCAATACATAAGGAATTCAATACAAATGTTCTGGTTACTGAAAACTTTCAAGAGAGAAATAATCACCTATCTTATGGGAGTAGAGCACAAGTGGAAAAGATGCAGACTTTAGTAAAAATAATTTTAGTCTCAAATATTATCTCCATCTCCTTTCTTTTTTACTCTAGATATGAGGTTTTTCAGTGAGAACCAGATTATTGTTTAATGAACCATTGCATTGATTGATTATCAGGGGTTGTACTTCTTCACTAATAGAAATAAGCAGATGCTTGTCGTTATGTCAGTCACTCATCTAGTCAATAAAATCAATCCATGCAACAACGATAGATCTTGTCCAACCAGTTCGGTGATGGTTGCAAATCAAATGTCATTGTTATTGACATGCAATGTCAGATCAAGCTTTCCGATCAAATTTGGATTTGGCTGACCGAAATAGCCAACTAAAAAGAGTCGTGATTAAGAGAATTCATCAACCTAAAAATTGTGGTTCTATACTTAAAATTCATTTGAATTTGATTCTATTCCTTGAATTTGGAACCAAGTATTGTACAAGTGTATGATGTTGATTTGCTCATCCGGAGACTACAGATTGCCATCAAATTTTTCCCTCATTTTGAAATATATTTAAGTGTGAATAGAGTTTGAAATGACAAATTGGCTCTTCACCTTTCTTGATCTCCTTGTTACCTATCTTTTTCACTACGATGTTTCCATAACTCTTGCAAAGATGATTCCAAGAAGCATTGTCCACCTTAAAAGCTCTAATGTTGAAGAGGCAAAGAGTCGATCTGCCCATGAAGAGCTCTAACAATGTACCTATTCCAAGCATGCTCATGATGGCGGTGAAAACAACTATGATGACTTAACCTAAATCTATCTCACTAATTACACCATTGTCCTCAACAACAATGCAACCTTTTGGAGCGCTAGACATGCCAAAATAATAGCAACTGCAACTAACAAGGAAGAGATAATGAGACAGTCCACACGGGTGAATTTAATGATATCATGCAAGTCCAGGTAACTACCAGAAAGTCAGTGCAATTATGGAGATAGTTGACCTGGAGAATGGGATACCTAATACTCCTTATAGTAAAGAAAGGATTCACAAAATTATTAATAAATAGCAAACAAAGCTAAAGAAACAGCAGATACGGTACGCATGAAATTCATATTGAAAACTCACCGGTTCATACATCACCCTCATGGAACAGTCTAACCTTGGAATAAGCAATCGGCCTACAAAAAACACACAGCTTTCGGCACTAAAAAGATATGGGCTATAATAATCGTAAAAATTTGAACCTGTGAATAAACAATACCTGATCTCGATCTCTTTAAATTTAATGATTCGGGTGTGAGAATAGATGATTTCTTCTTCTCAGATCGGGTTAATGGTGTACGTTGACCCTTGAAAAAAAAATTTAAAATAAAGAAAAAAATTAGAATAAATGCTCGTTAAACAAACTCTAAAAGCTTGTGAAATTATTAAGGTATAAAACATGAGCTATACGGTGTTATTTATAAGGTTACAAGTAAAATGCTTGCTGCCCATTAAGTACTCCATTTTTATAAGAAGATTGTAGTAAATAATAATGGTTTGAAGTACGGTTAGAATTGTACAAAACCTCTCTTTTCCCTACATATTACAAAATGCTTGAAAAATACAAAACAGCTGTCAGCGGACACCAACAGAAAGTACTGTAATTAACAAAAAACTAATATGTAGGGAAAAGAAAGAGAAAATAGGACTCAAATAGAAAATAATTATATCATCAAATAGTTACCAAATTACCACGAAATAACTTGAAAGTAATGAACAGCTTCAATTTTAAGATTCATCCAATTACTAAAGATAAATTAAAAAAAATAAAACGAGCATTCAGCATTACCAGGGACGAAGATAAGAAATTCTGATGGCCAACATATTTAATGACCATGACTGAACATTTTAAGAATTACCAGGGGGAAATCTTCAAACATGATGTAGCGAGTACCAAGAAGGAAATAACTCAAATGAGAACAGGAAATGAATATTCAAAAGCATATATTAAAATTTGCAAATTCAGAAAACACATAAAAGATGAGATCAGCTACTCATTGTTATTGCATTTTGAGAAAAACGAATGAATTCAACTAGATACATTCAAAAGCTTTTTTAGGTCATTATCAATGGCATTTTGGTTGTAAGAGAGGTGCAACTTGCAAATGGAAAACTCATTACCAACTAGCCATATTCATGTGGGCTCCGAAAATTCACACCCCAGCCTCTTTGTGACCCCTTTTTTTCTTCATTTTCGGGTCGTCAAGGAGAGTTTTAACGAGTGTTTCGAGGCAAACTTTCAAAAGGAAAATTAGGCTTTGAATTAGAAATTACCCAGAGATTTCGCCCTCATTTTGTGAGGACTTTTGATCTGAGTTCAGATTTCTTGCAAGTGCAATCCTCTATAGTTAGGGTGCGTTTGGGACGGCTACAGCTGTCGGTAAAGTAGGATATAAAATTGTTCTACATATAGCTGCTTTTTTAAATTGCTATATAGAAAGCAGTGCATCTTGTTTGGACAGTATAACTGTCAAGTTGCTGTGCTGCAGCTATGTATGAATAAATTACCTTTATAACCTCATATGTATTAAGATAATCAATTTTATTCAAATATAATTTGTTTTCAGAATTTTATGTAAACAAACTAACACTTCTAAATTAAAATCAAATTATTTTATCAAATATTATTTTAACTTACTGATAATCAATAGTGGACAGGGTTCTTTTAATAAAATTGAATTCAATTTTGTTTTAACTTACCGGTAATCAATAGTGGACAGGGTTCTGTCTGAATAATCTGCGAAGGATGCGAGCAGAAGAGAGCTAACCTAATAGAAATGCTGGGAAGATCACAGGGCAAGAAATTAGCTCTTCTAATGCAGGAGAAAGCCGTGGCAGAAGGAAGAAATGGCGATGAGAAGAAAAAAAATGAGGTAGGGGAGAGAACGTGGACGCATATAAAGGAAAGACCTCGCTGCTAGCTAGCTGAAGATGCGAAATGCTGAGTCGGGCTTCTTGCAGCTGTGCCTTCGGAGGAATAAAAGAAAAATTTAATGGTTATCGACTTCGATAGCGTACAAATGAGGTCCCGACTGCTGAGATGTGTGAGAAGAAGCGGTCGGAACTTGGCGAGGATGAAGAAGAGAACAGGGTAGCTTTTAGGTAACTGCAAGGTCATTAAGGTATTTCTCATACCTTGGAACCGCGGAACGCAGGCGAACGCGGGCGGGGGGGGTTACTTCGGACCGGAAAAGCAACCGCAGGACGTGAAAATTTTCCCAACGGAGCACGATGCGGTAACTCCAAACCACATTGTGGTTACGTTCCCAAACGCACAGCAGGGAAAAATCCGTCCCAAACGCACCCTTAATCACTCCTGGTAACGAGAGAGAACTTTTGATTAAGGCTAGTCGTAATGCAGATATGTAGTATCCAGAGTATAGTATCAGCTTGTTTAGGTATTTAAATTTGGAAATTCACCACCTTGCACTTATAGCGTATGGTGGGGGGAATGATGATAGACCCGATCAAGATCCCATAGTTCCGTCGTCTCGGGTCTTCATGGTCCCTGATCTACTTAGTGCGAGGAGTTAGTCAGCCCAACCTAGCAGAGGGCTTTGTGTCATATCGGTCATATCCTATTAATTCATTGCCCAATAAATTAACGTCATTGGGGAACATATGGGCTATGACCATGACTGTAATATAATGGTACCATTTGTCGGCAAAATCACCTAGTCAGAGGGTTCTGGTCATAATTGTTTACCTTTGGTGCGATTTTGTGGCGAAACCACTGTTTAGAGGACATGTGTCATGTCCTTACTAGCAAGAGACGGATTAAGAATGAATCATAGTGATATTCTTGACCAGACATTTGTTCTTTATGAACTGAAGTGATTTTCAGATTTGCCACCTCGACAAACTATTGTAAATGGTAGATGTGTATTTTTGTTATAAGTGTTAGACGATTTATTTCAATTTTAAATATTTTAATTTTTTGGGTGATTTTTGGGTATTTGAAATTTTTATGGGCATTTGAAAATTTGCGAAACATTTTAAAAGTTTATGGTCCCCTCCGATTGAGATTTTTCTATCAACACGGCCATCATCAGGGTTCTTATGTGCAATTTATTTTGTTGGTTAAACATTATCGACTCTGTCAACTTGCTGATAGAGGATCATGTTCGTTGTTGGCTTTATGCCTTTATTAGCGAATTTTTCTTCTTATAGATCTTGAAGTTTTAATATGAATGTATAAAACAAATATCTCAGTCGATGACGCAACCGTGTATTTGTTTGATAGTTCGAAACGTGTCGACTCCTATCCATTCAGGTAGAAGGATCTGGTTCGAACTTGGATTCATGTTTGACCAGTGCAGCATCCTTAAATGTCACGTCTGTGCATGCACCGCGCTCGTCTGAGCCCATGCGAGTAATTATACTTTAATGCATGAGGGGAGATGTTTTTTCAGTGATCAGCCATGTAAATGACCCCTGGTAATAGGTATGCAAGGTTTTGGTTCTGAAATTGGTAAACACCTGCTTGTACGAGTATTGCGGATCTGGTGGCGTTGTTTAGTAGCATGTTGGATCTCATTTGGGAATTTATAAATGCATAATGTCCACTTATATGAGTGTTGCGGACCCGATGACATTGTTTAGCAGCGCGTTGGGTCTCATTTGGAAATTTGTAAACGTTTTATTATGAGTATTGCAGATCTGGTGACGTTGTTTAGCAACGCACTGGGTCTTATTTGAGAATTTGTAAACGTCTTCTGTCTGCTTGTATGAGCGTTTCAAATCTGATGGCATTGTTTAGCAACGCGTTGGGCCTCATTTGGGAATTTGTAAACACCTCTTGTCCTATATGTGATGGGGACATCAGATTTCGACATGTGTATCATCGCCGGCGACGCAGATCAGCGGCTATGATCCAGAGCCTTTATTTCTGATTTAGTTTCAGTCTATTTTCATATGTATTTTAGTTTTTCCATTTTTGCCCCTGAGGGCATTGCTTTGCTTATGTAGCCCAGTGGGCATTTCTGTCTTTTAATTTCTTTATGTTATCCTCTTTATAAAGAGGTCTCATGTAATGGATTTGGGAGTTTTTTGGATGAAATGAAATTTACTTCTCGATCTCTTTGTGAGTTCACTCCAAGATCTCTTAGTGAGTTCGCCGGAGAAAACTAGATCTCTCCGTGAGTTCTAGTTTTCAACACTAGTTACTATTGTGGAACGTCGACTTGACTACAATTGAGGTTAGTGAGCTCGCGATCGTTGAACCCCAAGAAATTTCAAATTCGTTTCTCCCCTCCTGTTACCGCCGCCTAGCCCAAACAACTCAAGCTGCCGGCCCCTTTTCCATTCCCTTGGTGGCCGCCTCCCGCCGGCCTCAGTCCCGCCAGCCACCGGCCAGCCTCCCGCCGGCCACGTCCAAGCCATCCACCGACCAGCCGTCCCGCAGCTCCTTCCCGCCGCCCCTGTGAAATTCAGGATTTGAATTTCAAATTTCCCCTTAAGCATTTGATTACCTTCCATATTTGATTCCTAGATTTGGGCATACGTTTTAATTAAATCTTAATAGCCTTTTTTCAACTCACGTGCCTGACCTCTATTAGAGGAAGTTTTCTTTTGGAAACAAATCTGTTTTATTACAGATTTCATTCAAATCTGTCAATTACCCGTGAGCCATCCGTTACCAAAAAAAATCTCCTCTGTTTTTTTTTTCCTAGTCCAGCCGCCCCTGTAATGGCTCTTCTCTCTCTCCATAATAAATCAAATTTCTCCCCAAATTAAGCCCCTAATCTCCCCCTCTTTACCGCCCCTATTCTTCTCCTGGTTTAATTTGTTTCTCCAATTGAAACCCCCCTCAGTCTATTCGAAATCTGCAGAATTTCAAATTTCTTGCTTTCCATTGGTTTCCTTCCTCACCGTCTTCCTCCCCTCCTCCCCACCGAGCCACTTCTCTTTTGTTCTTGGGAGCGTATTGCAGCGACCACTCACTCTCACGGCTACCATGCATGGCCGACCCCGAGCTTGAGTGGGGAGTGGTATTCGACGCACACGGCAACCTCGACGTCTATCGATCGCCATTCTTCGACGCCGGATTTGAATCGGACGAAGACACTGTTGGAGACTACCTTGATCGGATTCTACCGACGCTCATTTAAGTCATTGACAAACATTATCCGGCTTCCAAGTGGATCATCGATAGTCGTCCACCCGTTCCTTCGAATCCGGCCTCCTTCCCGACGAAGAGTACTCTCAAGATCACTTGTCTACTAGTGGCGTCGCTAAGCTTGCTCACGGCCCTCTTCCGCTAACCTCCACCAAAACTATGAGTGTTAGATCTCAAGGTGAAGGATCTAGACCTTAAATTTGGGGCTTTGTTATCTCTAGCTATTCGCATTAATTTTTCTTTAGTAGTTATTTTGTAAGTTTCCGTTATCTCTACTTGTAACCAATTGCTATTGCTTAATCTATCATCGTCTAATTCTTAAACTCAACTTGACTACGCAAAAGGGTTTTAATAGCAAGGCAAAATCTTTACTTCTATTAATTTTCAAGTGCAATTCTTTTCACATCATGTAGTTTCACATCAATATGAGTGTTGCAAATCCAGTAGCGTTATCCAGCAGTGTGCTGACCTTCATCTATCATGCATGGGCAGCATGGTTTAGCTCATTTTGTTCTCTTCAACTTGTCATTTTCTTCAATACTCCACTTGTAGGAGTACACTTTTGCTTGCAAATGAGTTGTACAACAAATCAAAGGTCTACCATTGTCAACTGCAAGGGTTTTCTAAATCAGCTCGCAGGGCTTGCATTTGCTTGTGGGCGAATTACGTTGAATACAAATCTTCTAACGCCACCCTAGATGTCTTCATCTACTATATTTCTTTTTGCACGCTCGCATGGAGTTGAATGGCATTGACTGTGTGTGGGCTTCATGTACTTTGAACTTCATTGAATACATCAAATTATTATGTTTAGAGTATATTGACTTACTCCGCTTGCAGGGAATCCATATGCTTGCTTGCATGTCAACTAGCATTGACTATGAAGCGCCATTGCATTTGTTGTATATCATTCACCACTTATCATAACTAACTTTACTTATTTATGAGAATGATTGAGGCAAGCTGCTTGTAATCAGATCATGTGTTTCTCTTGATTGTTATTTGCAAGAAATTTTCACTTGGAATTAGGTTCATTATGAATTCTCTACTATTGTTCAGTCCCCTGCTTGTATTAAAAGTTGGTCATTGTCATCTATGTTTTGAGACTTATTTTCTTGCATTTCAGTTTAGACATTTTAGTTTGCATTTTAAGTTGAATTTTAGGTCCAATTCCTTGTAATTGTAAGTTTGGTTTCTTGTGGTCCATTCCAATCTTGTTCCCTGCATTTTTTTGTTTAAGTCCCCTGTGTTTTGTTCAAATCAAGTCCTATGTTCACCAAAAATTTCGGCAGTCGTTTGACGTCTCCCCTGTTCAGGGGAAAGTTATGTAGATGGGCCTTTCGGCCACGCTAGATAAAAGTGTCTACGATAGGTGTCGGGTGATAGCGCGGCCGGGGTCTTCAATCTCACCACGCTAGAGAAAGGCGTGTATGAGTCTTAAGGGTACCTATTGGAAAAATGCGGCTTTTCCCTGCAAGCACTGAGGCACGTACACAGGTACTTAAAGTTGTCCCTGTCAAGCTAGATAAAAGTGTGCACGAGGCCTACCCACCTCGCTGCAAGCACCGCATCAGATTCCCTGAAAAACGTGTATAGGTGATTTTCCAATGCGCCGCAAGCGCTGAAAAACAGGATTTTGAGTTTAGCGTGTTATACCTTTGTGCAAAGAAGCGGTGACAATGGCGAAGATGTCAGCGAAGGTACGCACACAAATCTCCTTTTCTTTTTTTTCTCTTTTTTCATTCATTTTTTTCTTTTTTATAATAATAATTAATTATTATTAGTAGTAATAATATATAAGAGATGAGGATGCTTAGGTGGATGAGTGGCTTTACCCTTAGAGAAAGGGTACGAAATGAGCATATACATGAAAAGGTTGGAGTAACTCCAGTGGAAGATAAGATTAGAGAGAGCCACTTTAGATGGTTTGGCACATTAAACGGAGGCCTTCTGATGACCTGTTTAGGAAAGTTTAGGTATTAGATTTGACTTATGTTAAAAAATGTAGAGGTAGACCTAAAAAGACTTGGTTAGAAAATATTGGAAATAGTCTTTCTTTATTAGATTTAAATGAGAATTTGACTTTTAACATGATACAATGATGAAAAAGGATTCATGTAACCGACCCCCAGAGTGAGACAAATGCTTGATGTTGTTGTAGTTGTAGTAATAATATAGAAGGGAGGGGGAATGGGTTGATTGTGGGAGAGGTGATGTTGATTTGGAGCTCAGCTCGTGTGGACAGGAGGTATGAAGAAGTGGATTGAGGGTAGGAAGATCAGAGGAAGAAGGTCGAATGAGGTGCGGCTGTAACCTGCAGGGATCGGAGGTTGGGATTTTAGCTAGGTGTGGGATCGAGAGCTTGCAGTTGGTTCAGTTGCTTGTGGACGGACATGGAGGGAATGATCGAGCTGTGGAATTGTGAGGTAGGCTGTAGCGGCTTATGGATTGGGAGAGGCATGGCTTCAACTATGTGAAGTCCAAACACAGTGAGGGCTGATATGCGATTAAGGATGTGAGGAAAGGCATATCATGCCTTATAGTGGAGATTCGGCTAGGTCGATGTGGGGTTGGAAGTCGGTCGAGTATATGGTGGAGTTCGGAACTAGCTTCAGTTGACTGGGTCGGAGGTGGAGAGGAAACGGGTGAATCGAGAGGTCTTGCGGGTTGGATCGCGGCTTGAAGGGATCAATCAAGGTGTCCGGTTGAGGTCGCAAGCGGAGGCTTAAAACTGGGTTTGGAACTAGGAGCTAGGTCGACAGGTATAAGTCAGGGATAGAGAGGAAGGGGATGGATGGGGGATCGACAAAACTAGGTCGGCAGAGGATCAAAGAAGGGATGTGATCGAGAGCCTGAAGTTGACGGGCTGTGCGACTAAGGCTTCGAATGGGAGTTTTGTGTCTTCGAGCGCGGAAGTAAAAAACCAAAGGCTTTGTTTGTCGTCGTTTTAACAACGACAGCAGGTAAGCTTGAGGCGAGCGTGAAGAGGCAGTTAGATGGCGAATTGCAAGGCATGGGTATTATTATAGCAGGCAGCAGATACAGGTATAATTTATGCAGGATTTGAGCAAGTATTTTTTTATTATCTCTCTCTCTCTCTCTCTCTTTTTCTTTTTTCTTTTTTCTTTTTTTCTCTGATGTGGGAGGTCAACAATCCATGTCAATTAAATTAAAGACAAATCATGACAAAGGAATTATGTTTATGAAATATCAGGTCACCAACTCTACTGTTTAGAATAATATTGAAATGGAACTATTAACTCTACTTGTACATGAAATATTACAAATTCAACAGCAGAATGCAGTAATGACACCAATCCAGAAAGGCAAATTTCAAAAGGTAAACATGTAACCAATTTTTTTACTGGGAAAAAAATCAGAAAGAAAATATACAATTAATATTCTACAGGGAAAAAAATCAAAAGGTAAACATATGATTAATATTCTACGCACAAAAAATGTCAGGGGAATATATATATAACTAGAAAAGTTGTGATCATATGTATGACCTACATCTGTATAGCTAGATACCCAAACAGTTTTGTATCCAATTGAATGAGATGCTTTATCTTTAGTCTGTTGTGTCTCTGTTGAAGCATCAATATGTTTTGCCTGTCAAGACATCAAATGCAACAGAAGATTAAGGTCCACATTAGTGATGTCATCTATAGTATTTGATAAATTAACAGGTCAAACTTGGGAACAAAAGAGGGAGAAACTATCAAATATAAGAGTAGACCAACTTACAACTTCAGAATTTTTTCTCATTGTGGAAGATTTATCAGATATGGGAGTTAGAGGAATTGCTTTTGGTCTTGAAATGGAAGCAGAAGAGACCAATATATTTTCTTCAAAACTAGTACCAGACGACTGATTTCTGGAGCCATTTTTCTCAGCTTTTGTTCTGCTTCTAGCAGTTTGATTATCTTTCTTTCTCCCAGTGCACCTTAACATCTTTTTGTCCATGGTTTGTGAAGTTACTGCTTTAGAATTTGCAGGGGTTTCTTCAACTAGTCCTGCAATACAATCAGATGTGAAAGTTTCTTATCATTTAAACTTTGCCCCAAAAATGCTGTTGAGGCAGAATCATCACAACAGCCATATTTGAAAGATGAGTTAGAGTTTGGGGTAAAACCTAAATGTGTATTAAAAGAATGCTTATGAACATCTTGATTTTCTTCTGACAACACCCCAGCTGAAGGAACAAGAATGTTAGATGTTGGAGACAAAGGGCTCCCTTTTAACATAGTATAATTAGGCCGACTTCTTGCACTAATTTTAGATCCATCAGGTGATAAGTTAGCATGGTTCATATTATTAGTCTCATTAAGAAACTGAGAATAATCTTGAAATTCTCCATGAACATTTTCAAGTTTTAGCAACACTAATTTCTCACTTTTTCTAACAGGTTTAGCTAAGGATTTGGCACATTTCTGAGCTTCTACATAATGATTTGGAGACGAGGAGCCATCTTTCACTAATGTGTCAATAGGCTGACTTGCGCAAGTTTTAGATCTATCAAGTATCAAGTTAGCACAGTTCATATCATTGGTCCCCTTAAGGAATTGAGGACTATCTTGAAATTCTCCGTGAACATCTTCAAGGTTGTTTGATGGCATTAATCTTAAACTTCTTCTAACAGGCTTACTTGTGAGCTTGGCATACTTTTGATCTTCTCCATGATTTTCTACATTTGATAATACTGATCTTACTTTTTTTGGCCTTCTAGTTGAACATATATCATTCTTCTCATCTTTTTCCTGAGCAATTTCCTCTTTCTGATGGCCTTTACCAGCTACAGAGTCCGACAAATTACTAGTGCTGCAAGTTCCCACACATTCATCATGGTGACCTTTTGATACTACATGCCCATTGCATTTCTCTTCTGGGAGTCCGTCTAAATGTAAATCAACTGAAGGGCACCCTACTCCTGATGTATGAAGTCCTTCAGTACAGCTAGCTTCACGTTTTTCAGAAGCATTGTCAACAGGAGTATGGCCAGTTTCACAATAATTGTAAACAGAATGAGCATCTCTCAAATTAGTTCCATGAGTCTCATCATCCTGAAACCGGTAAATAGTATGAGCATCTCTCATATTAGCTCCACAACTCTCATCATTTTGCAGCTGATTATTATCACAAATACTTCTCTCTGGTAAATGATGGGAACTTCTGTCCACAAAAGGCATGTGCACAGGACTAGAAGTTGACACCCAGGTTGCAAATTTCAGTATAGCCTCCCGAAGTCTTGTACCAGAAGCACGAGCAGAAGTATTAGAGGTAGACGAAACGTTTTCAGGGATAATGTTCTTCGATTTAACAGGAAATCCAAATGGTGCATTTTCAAGAGAATCCTTACAACACCCAGCACCTCTAGAGGGAATTAAAGGAATTTCAGCATGCGAGGATTTGTCCCTAGAAGAGTCACTAGCATAATCGGTCCAGGTTGTAGGGAAACCAATCAAGAAAGTTTTACAAGCCTGTACGAGTTTTGGTATTCAGTGTAAAGGATATGTATAAAAAAAACTCCAATTTTCAATGCAAAAATAGAAAATGACCACGATACCACATTGATCCCACATTCTGAAATGTTTTTCAATTCTTTTGTTCCAAATTTCTCTCCATGCTGCCAGGACATAAAGTTCACTGAAATAGGTAAAAAGATCTACAAACCTCAAAAGGAAACCCATTATCAAGAGTGCGTTTTTTGTTAATAAATCCCTCGATCCTTATGGTAATCCCATCAGCTGTCTCAAGAGTATAGGCATCATGGCGTTTGATAATAGGGGAAGAATCAAAGATTCTCATAGCTTTCCCCCTGAAGGGCAGAGGCAAGTTTCAAATTGGAGAAAGCATAACATAAAGTTACTGAAAAAAAGCATAGCACAGAAACACTTAAGTTCAAGTCATGCAATGAAATGTCTCAGAGATAAAGGCAACTTCCAATACCTAGAAAACACACCACAATCATAAAAAGTTTGCAACTTCCAATACTTTCAAAAAGTACCACAATCATAAAAAGACAAAGTCCTTCAGCAACTTTCAGCATTCAACAACCATACCATAACCATAAAAAATAAATAAAAATTTTGAGACATGTACTACAGGCTTTGTTAGCCTTTTTTTTTTCCTTCTTGGTGTTCTGACGTGTTGCGAGGTAAAGTGGGTGAGAGAATATTGGTAAAATCATGTAAAATTTGACGTCTAGAGTGTTTGTAAGACTACAATTGCTTGGTAAGAAAATAATTTTTGCACTTATATGAATTGATTGAAAAGCCAAAATGTATATTTGATGTACAACTAATTGTAACCAACACAGTCTTTGAAACTCATACTATATCATTTTTAAACCAAATCAATCACACAATTATCCAATAACAAATGTCAGAGCAACTAATATAAAAAAAAATTTAAAATGTAACTGAATCAAACTTTGTGCTTGTAAAAGGAGAAAAACTCTCCCAAAAGCAAGTCTCTCATTTGATCTAGGATTTGATTTTCGAAGGATTTGATTCTCAGAAGTAGAAAGAATAGCGCGCTCAATCAGAACTAAATTTGGATTACAAAAAAAAAACATAATGTTTTTTTACAAGCAAAAGCCCAATATTTATAATAGCAATTCAACTGAATTTCCCAAATAAAAAAATGATCATCGTCAAAGCCAATAAATCTCGCACAAACCATAATGGTCCAACATAACCTCACTTAAAAATCCATTAAAATCCCACAAGGAAGCAACTTGTAAAACATGATTGTAACAAAAGCATTCACAAGAAATGCACCGTAAGTGGGCAGAGATGGTAAAGAATTGGAGAGATGAGATTTCTTGAATCAGCATCAATCTTAATTTTATATAATTATAATATACTATTCTAATCTTAATTAGTATATGATTAATTAAATAATTTATTGATTCATTCATTAGATAAAAAAGCTAAAAATCAAATTAATGCTTTTCTGAGAAGCTATCTAAACATGCATTCCAAGGATTTGTTTAGTTGCAAGTAAGTTGAATTGAGATGTTTTCTAAATGCGATTTAGAGTAAATTCAACGCATTTGAAAAAAAAAAATTTACGGTCAACTTTTTGTGATGGGCTAGGACATTATAATCAACCTTGCAAATTCCTCTATCGGTTGCATCCTAAGAAGGCATAGATTGTAATGTGAGCGAAGACTCAAAATTATCGACAGCTTGTTTCTCTTTGCCCAAGGAAGTCATCTGAGCCTACAGAGCTTTGTCACTACGGAGATTAACCTGCACAACTTCTTCAAATGAAGAAACAGGAGGAATATCTACCTATGCCTCAGCCATCCCCAATTATCTTCTTTTGAACTTTCAAAATCCAATATTTCAACTTTGATAGACGATAGTAACGGGTGTACCCTAAAAGCTAATAGCAAGGCCATTACTATCAGAAAAGTATTCATGAGATTCTTTAAGTTCATTAATATCACTTTGTTTCAAGAATTGCTATGAGTTAATTTATTTTAAGTCATTTTCATCATCCTCATTTATAATGGACAAGGCATACACAGAATCCTTCTTAGCTAATCCTCCTAAGAGGGACAAAATAAGTCATATAATGTAAGCGACATGAAAGGCTTAACTGCCCCATCGGCAAAAATTACAATCTTTTTAATTAGAATTTTATTTTTACTCTCCTCCCTTTCTTGAACCATAAAACCCCGATTGACATGAGTTTTCTTAAGCTCCTATGTTGGAGTCATCTCTAGGTCGTCTTCGGATATTAAATCAACATGAGCTCCCTAAGAAATCATGAAAGAAGAATGATAGGCTTTGATGAGTAATTCTTTGATGAACAAGAAGAGGCAATGTCATATTCATCAGCTAAATCAAATACAATGGTTTTTGAGCTCCCTAAGATACCAAAAGAGAAGAATGATAGGCTTTGTTAAGTAATTATTTGATGAACGGAATGAGGCTATATCCTATTCATCATCTAAATCAGATATAATGGATTCATAAAAATAAGATTTTTGAAAATTTCTATTTTATAATCAAAACATAAACAAAGATAATAACATATTATCTCGAAATATAAAAATGATGTCTTATAATGGATTAAAAATATATACTTTAATGAAATGTCTATGTTTCAGAAGATTTTCCTCTATCTTATAGAAATAAGATAGGGTTTATTTTATTATGAGGCACAGTCTTTTTAATTACAATTTTATTTTTACTCTCCTCCCTCTCTTGAACTATAAGACCTAGATTGACTTGAGTTTCCTTAAGCTCCTAAGCTAGAGTAATATGTAGGCCATCTTTCAGTACTGCTAAATCAACCTGAATGAGTTTCTCAACTCCCTAGGATACCTGAAGAGAATAATGATAGGCTTTGTTAAGTAATTACTTGATGAACGAGGCAAGGATATATCATATTCATCATCTAAATCAAATATAATGGATTCAAAAATTTAAAAAAAAAAAGGTTTTTGAAAATTTCTAATTTATCATCAAATACAACAAAGATAATAACATATTGTCTCGAAAAACAAAATTGATATTCTATAATGGATTAAAAAATGAGATTTTAATAAAATGTATGTATTTCTAAAGATTTTACTCTTATCTTATAGAAATAAGATATGGTTTATTTTATTCAGTGATACATATTCCCCATAAAGGCAAGCTCTTATAGTTAATTACATCCTAAAAGAGACGAGTCTTTTAAAAATACTCTCAATTAAAATAGTGACAATTTTTTTAATTTTAAAGTTGAAGATGAGGATTAGAATTTTGGAATTTTTAAAAAGATATGAGCTCATTTGGAACATTTCTTTCTAGAAGTCAATGGATGAATAATATGGAGTACTAGGATTCTGAGAAGTTCTAAAATATTTCAATCTATGCTATCTTGGGCTATAGCATTTTAAAACAAAGATTTATTACTTGATTTGACATTTTATTATAATCAAAAGTTGAGATTTATATTCATTAATCACAAGATTAGGAGAATGCCCAGAAGGTAAGAATTTAAGATATGAATATCAACCTCGAATCCTGAAACTAAGATGAGCACTACATAATAGTAACTTGAACCTATTATAATAAAATGCAAAAAGTCAAAAATAGTGAAGTGAGACTTATATTTGTGACTTTGGAAAGAGTTTAGAAAGGCCCAACACTTTTAGACTTAAATCTTGTTCGCAATGAAATGCCACCTAAACTCTACCTAAATGATTTAAAATCATGATCTCAGTCGTATAAAATGCAATATAAGTTAGGATGTTATTTAATTTTAGAATTTAAGACTGACATCTAGATATCCTAAAATGGCCTTTAGATTTATTAATGTTATTTTATGCTCTTAAAGCTAAATGCAATTAAAATTTTATTTTTAATTGGTTATTATGTAATTCATGTAGTTAAACACAATAATCAGTATGATTTTAAAATTTAAAAAATACTTACAACAACAACATCAAGTATTTATCTCACTATATGGGATAATATATGAATCATTTTTATTCATTGTGTCCTGTTAAGAGTCAAACTCTCATTTAATCTTAAAACAATAATATGAACAAATCAAGGTTGAATAAATAAATAAATATAAATAAATAATCTAAAACTTAAGAAATTTACTTAAAATTCAAAAAAATCTCAAATAGAGAATCAAAAATAAATAAAATCATAAAAAAATAATAAACTAAAAAGATTCTTCAATAAATACCCAGTTCTTACGCTCAAATTTAACAAATTACTTAATAGATTTAGAAATTAAGACATTCATTAAAAATTTAAATAAATGAAAATAAAAATGAAATAAATTCCTGTGAACTTCTAAAGTTATAACAAAAAATAATTTGCATCGAGTTAAGTAATATTAGATCAAAACTATTTTTTTTTCTTTATAAAGTTTTTTTAAATCTAAATTAAAAAAGTAAATATTAAAAAATTAAATTGAAACCACCCCCAAATAAAAATTAAACAAATCTAAAATTTCAAAAAAAAAATTCAAACCGACAATATTAAAAATCAAATCTAAATTGTCACCCACGCAACCTAGCACACAAATTAGTTTATTTGCTAAAGACAACCTACCCTAATTCTATGTTAAGGTCATTGTAGTGATTTGAATTTTGTTATGATTGAATGATTTTGGTTTATGTGCAAATGTTTTGAATATTGATTGCTCTCAGTTGTGATGGATCATCAGATGCCAATGGTTAAGAGCGTTCATGATATTTATTACTAATAAAACTTTCTGCAAGCATGCATGCTTATGTAGGGTTATTAAAAAGAATAGGGGTTAATATTTCTTAAACTTAATACTACTAAGTTTTCAATAGGTGTTTATAAATAAAACTTACATAGCCTCTCAAAATTAAAAAGCATGGTCAAAGAAACAGGTTGCTCAATTATTGGGCAAATGTTAAACACAGAGTAATGAATGTATATTACAATGTTTAAATATAAATTGCTTTGCTAACTTGCTTCTTTTCTATTTTTAAATGTAAATTTAAATTTATAAAATATGAAAGAGAAATGAAATTTTTCATCTTAAGAAAAAAGAGATCAAAAGAATGAATTTTTTAAAGGTGATGTCTTTTCAAAATATTTTGAAGGATAGTCATCGTTGAAAATTTTGAAAAATCTCATGCAATGACCTGCATCATTTTAGGAGTAGAATTTGAACTATAATTTAAAGGCATTATAAGATTGTTTATTTCTATGAATAGTTTGTAACTAAGTGACACTTGTCATTATGAACTTTATTTTTTACTTTCATTTATTTATTTTATTATGATTGAGTGAGTGATTTTTTTACATTAATTGTGCTTTAAAGATACATGGTTTTCCTGAGCTTCTTTTATGCGTGCAATTTGCTTGGATATTTTTTTTAGGCTCTTAGAAAATAAACAATTTCTATTCATTAATAAAAAAACCTCTAAATAACATAGGAACATAAATGATTAGAAGGACATAAATGACGTCCGACCAAGCCCACATGCTACCAATGTGGTTGTCGGAGCCGTCACTCAAATAACAAGATTAGCATTGATACCCAATTTAAAAGCTTGAAATTCTCTACGCATTCTCAACCAAGAAACGGAGGAACTAGGAGGCAAGTTTGTTCAATGATCGTGTCATGCCCGATTGTGCCGCACGCAAAACATCTAAACTCTGATCGTCATCAATAATCTATTGTTTTCTATAATCAACCATGTCTCCCATCTTACAAGCTCTAATACCAATTTAGCGTGCCGGCTAACAGGAAACACAAACAACACCAACAATATTAAACATAGAAGAGGAAAATAACCAAGTGAATAAAAATGAATTGTATTTTGTATGCCTCTTTTGTTCTTCTACCAGAATATATATTCTACAATTCCATAATACTTCCTCTCTAATACTAAAATTGCAACATAATATAAAAGTAAGTAATGTTCTTTTTAATAGAAAAATAAATAAAGCTGAAATAGAGATAGTGGAGCAAAAAAGAAATAGAAAAGGATGCGAGAAGCTATTCATCCAAACATATAATTCTCTGCATCATAAAACAAGCCCTAAATCATCATAGGCATAAGGAAATAGAGAAATAAAAAAAGGGCCTAATAAAGTCCACGTCCCTGAATTAGAAGAAACTATAAATAAAGAAAACTTGCCATTCAGTGAACCCGCCAACTGCTAGGCTATTCCCGTCGGACCCCTTCTCTGCTCTCCTTAACCACCAATTTCTCAAAAAGACCTAGACATTCGTATGTGCATTGCAGAATAAGCATGATTTAACATTGATACTGAGTTGAGCAGACAAGAGTGGGAGCATACAGTTTTCTGCTGAAATGATGGGTCAAATCTGGTTTCAGGCTGGTGCTCCAGCATTTTCCAATCATAGGGATTGCTCCCAGAGGACTCCTCAAAAAAAATGTCCCAAGAGGAAGGAAACCCAAACCAAAAAGCATTACAAACCTGCAAAAATTCCCTATAGCAATGTAAAAAACCAAATGGAAGTAACTTATTAATTTCATAATGGCGCTAGAACAGCCAGTCCTCTTTATTAAATTCTGTATTACCTCATTCATAGAATATATGCTAAATAAAAGCAAAAGACATACATGAGTAGCCATAAAACTTCACAAACCTCAAGAGGGAACCCATTATCAATAGTTCGAGTTTTGTTGATAGAACCCTGGATCCTTAAGGTGATACCATCAGCCGTCTCAAGAGTACAGTGATCATGGCGTTTGATGATAGGGGCAGATTTGAAAATTCCCACAGCTTCCCCCCTAACGAAATAAAACAAGTTCCAAACTATTGAGAAAGTTTAGACAGACTTTTTTTAAACATAAAAAAATAATGCACAATAATTAGGTTATTAGACAAAAAGGTGGGATGAACACTAAGGTATTTACTAGGCTCTATTGCTAGTTTGCTACCGATCTTGATTTGAATCAAAGTTGAGAATACTTAAAGTCTTAAAATCTACCAAAAAAAACTACACTTTAAATGCCATCATCAGGCCAAAAGTCATCCTTATTTGTACTCTTGGTTTGAAGAATTAAAGGAGATTAGAAAAAAGAAAATGAACATGTAAATGAAAAAACAAATTGAATTTAGTTTTCACCCACTTGTTTGGATGATGATAAATTGAGTGAAAAATATTTTCCTTCCTGTTTAGTTGATAAAAAAAAATTAAGTTTTTGTGTTTTTAGTTAAGAGAGGGCATGTGAATTATCACAAACATCAAATAATTTTTTCTTTGCATGATGATACATTGTTTGGCAGACAAAAAAATTAGGTGTTTTGCTTCTTATTTAGATATCATATGATTTACAGTGAAGATGGCATAAATTTCTCTTCCCGTTTTTCATTAGGATTTAGTGAGGAATCGTCAATGGAAAATAGCATTTATTCACATTTTCTAGGTAAATCAAATTACCTATCAATTACATTAAGTCAAACACCAGACACGAAGTGGTGAAATAAAGAACATTTATATTCCATCCAATTCCTTCAAATTAAACATAATCTTCTAGTTGTTTGAAGCCTAGTATGCGGGCAAAGTTCCAAGTTCTCCACTGACAGTTTGTCTGGCTGTTTCATTGCAGGTTATCATGCTTTTCAAGTTTTAAGCACACGATGAACGTGATCACAGGGATTTCTAAGTCTTCATACATGCTTGATAATACAAACATCCTCCTTTCAAATTGTACTACGATCTCATAATATGCAAAACAGTTGGATGCATTTAATTCGCACAGACAACGGAGGAACCCGGCAGTCTCAACCCTATAAAAGCTCGGCCTTGGACCAGCAAACTTGAAGACGACATCGCAGAAATAGCGAAGCACATATACAGCATTGGAACCACAGATCATGATATGAAAATTCCTGAGCAGTGCAGTAAAAAAAACACTCCCAGAGTGAAGGAAAACCTAAACCAACGCGTGGGAAAGAACAAGAAATGAAATAAGGGTTTGCCTTTTGGTGAATCCACCAACTGTTAGCCTCTTCCCATTATAAGCCTTCTCCGCTTTTATTAACCACCACTCGAATAACAAGACCTAGACATAAAAGAGTAAGGAACAGAGACGCACATTGAAGCCATTTTGAACTGACGGGGGAGAACGAAAGAGAGGAAAACGCACCTCTTTCTGCTGAACGGGAGGGATGCGAGGGTTTTCGGGCTTGGACTCCGGCGACCGCTGAGCAGCCACAACCTTGGACGCCATAAGGGAGAGCGAACCGACTGAAGGAGCCCGCATTCCGCCGAAGTGAAATGTTTCATAAAAAGGCGGTGCGAGTAACGTTTCGACGAATTCCTTTGTTTTTAACAAATTCATACCATGGATTTGTTAAATTTTATTATTATTATTATTATTATTTTCATAAAATCATATTTAGCAAAAAGTAATAATTTGTATTAAAAATGTTGAAAAAAAAAATTAATTTTTAAATTTATTTTAAAATAAATATAATATATAAATAAGTTATATTATGCTCATTTTAAAATAAACCAAAAAGTTAAAACATTTAATCAAATATTCCAATCTAATCTCTTTTCTTTTCGAAAATATAAATATAAAATTAATATTAATAATAAATTATTTAATAACAATTCAATTGCTTAGGTGAAGAACTTCTGAGTTAGAATATTAGGAAGAAAATTTTAGCAAAATATAATTTAATAATTTTGAAATTTATTTTAATATTGACATATTGCATGAGTAATTTACATTAGATCAAGTTCAAGCGAATTTAATAAATTTAACTTTTAAAATAAAAATTTCAAGTGAATTCAAGATTCAAAATAATCTTTACTAAATTTAAAAATAATTATAATTAGGCTGGTTAGTATTTTAGAAATTTTATTTTTTAATTTCAACTTTTTAATTTTGTAAAAACTGGGTTGTGCTAACCCAAAAAAAGTGCATGAACTATGTAATAAATAATTCACATGTGTTAGGTTCTGATAAGTCATCAGGTTTGTGTCGAGTCAGGTACTGATAACATATTATGATCCATGTAATAAACACATTGGATCCAAATCAAATAATTAATTATGATTGAACCAGATTTAAGTAAGATCAAAATCCAATCAATTAACCCCATTTGCCACCCCTATATTATTCTTATTGCACTTTTGGTCATAATATTTGAAGATACAATTGGGGACTTTGGGATGTCCTTTATTTTATCTTTGCTATGAGCTGGTGCGGATCCCCATTATGTTCAGCGAAGCAAATGCGTCCTCTAAACAAATAAATAAAAAAAAACTCTTTATAATATGATTTTTAGGTTATTTGTCCATTTTCATGCATTTTTTAGTCTTTATTATAAGAGTTTTTAGGCAACTGCTGATGTAGTGGATCGTCGGAGAAATCGACCTACAAGAAGGATTTCGATCCCAATCCAGTGAAGAAGAGGAACAAAAGCTTCAAAGCTTTAAAATGTCATAATATTCTTCAATGCCTTTCCCTACTACAATACTTGCTTATATAAGCTAAATAAAACAATATAGAAGATACCTGTAAGAAGCACATAACAAACTAATTAAAATATGCATAAGAAGCAATATAGTTAAGATGCTTTGCATCATTCTCCCCTTGCGTTAAAAAGGGATTGACTCCGTCGAGATGCGTTATTGAAAGAGAGGTTGAAGCAAAAGACAAATTCCTGAATCGAAAATTTTGTTCTCAATATTTCCCTCCTATGGAGTCGCCTTGTGGAAGTCCCCAAAACTTTGCAATAATGTCATGTTGAGAGAAGTAAGATCAGCACTTCTTCTAAGGAAATATGGGAGGACAATCGCAAGAGCATTAAGGCATTGCTGAGAGAGGTTTCATGTTATCACCATTACTCGAATGCCAGCTGCTTTACAGTCCTCAATAGCTTGGTAAACTTCCTCACATGGAGGATCCCTCAGCCCAACCAAACCAGCAAATATGAGATCACTTTCTATAAAAGCATAATTAGAAGGATCAAGTAGAAGCTTAGGAGCATGATGGCCTTCACCATCATAATTAAAGAAGTCAGCAACATCGTCCTTGTAAGCAAATCCCATACAACGTAAGGCATTCGTTGACATCTCGTGAACAACTTGTTAAATTAGAGATTTTGAGCTTTCAACCAGCCTGACAACAGAACCATCTAGCAACTGAATGTAGAAACTTCTCTCCAACAAACTTTCAACAGCTCCCTTTACAAGTAGGGAAATAGTTCCTTTATCTGTATTTACTAACACTTTCAGGCCAGAGCTTCTCCTATTTTCTAAATTCTCTCTACTTGCCACCATCTCATAAAGAACACAGTCATAGAGCTCAAGTCCCTTTTGCAGGTTATCAAAATACTCTTTGTCCGCAATGTGAATTGTTGAAACCAAATCCACCTGAAGAAAAGGACTAGCCTCAGCTGGAACTTTATCAAATTTCTACACAACCTCCTCCAGCCTCTTCAAGTTAGGATCGTAACCTTCAGTGACATTTCGACAAACAGTTTGGATGCATTGCACTGAATCAATTTTGTCAATCGAATTCAGACAGGGCATGTTCACACCTGCAGGGAAAACATTCTCAATACCACTTCCAATGGTTTTGCCATACACTTCAATACCATTTGTATTTATTTCAGCAATGCTAAGGGTATGAAGACCATTACATACCTCCATAAAAATGGGCCTCATGTGAAGTTGCATTGATCACCGAATCCACTGGATAGATGATTCCTTTAGGCAAGAAAAATTCGATCTTGAACTGCACTATGATGTCATATCTCGGTTGTTGGTTAGTTACGGTGGAAATTTTCTGTGGGGAGAGAACACGAATGGAAGGAATAACCCGGGAGCACTATGTGCGGCGTTCGCTATCTTGATTACAAACTCGGTCATGGTCATGATCGCCACTTGGGTGGTGGTTTGAATTCAGCATTCACGATACAAGAGCATATGGGACGCTAGAGCTGATCGGAACAAGCGTCACTCGGGTCTTGCATGTGGGAGGCAGCCCAGCGGGCTCGGGTGGAGCACATTGGAGGTGGATCGACGAGTCCTGCGTCAGATCAAAAGAGATTGTGTCCCTGGATTGTTGGTGTGCATTATTCTGCATGATTCTGTCAGCGATAGTAGGATGTGTCTGGACTGGGGCTTGCGGAGCGGAGCCATCATCATCGGACGATGTCGGGTCGGGATGTGGAAGATTAGTAGGATGATGGAAGGCATCGGTCACAGGCGCATAGAGAGTCATGGGCGGGCTTGGTCTGGTAGCTTGGAGCACGGGAAGGTCCGCCGGTCGGTCGAGAGATAAAGCAGAGGCAGAATTGGAATCAGATCGTGTGAGATCGGGCTCGACGCCAAGAACTAGATCACGAGAGCATAATGGGAGCGGGGGCGAGAGCTCTGTGCGTGAGGCCGGTAATGGCGTAGTGGTAGCGGCGGGATCGGGTTGAACGTCAGTTATGGGAATGCCGTCATGCGGGTTTGAGAGTTCTGGCGAATGGAAAACTCGTTTGACGGAATGATTTGGGGAGTATCCCGCTCCTGGAGATGTGTTTATTGGAGCGGGATCGAGCTGGAGCGAATCAAGCTTGCAGTTCCGTTTGCAAGGCGAAGCATACGAAATTTGCGAATCTAGCAAAGGACATTGGAATGGAGGAGGGTCACGCCACCGAAGCAGGAGTTCGAGCGGAGGGTAGTCATCAACCACAGTGGGTATATTGCGCGATAGATGGCGTTGGCGTGAAGAGGCTGAGAGGAGCGAAGAAGAAGAATACCTTGGTATGGTCACCGAAGACATTCACATCTTCCTTATTGCCCGAAGGTTTCTGTCAATCCGATCAAGGTTTATGTCTACCCGATCGAGTGATTCCTTTGCTTGAGCTTGATAAAAGGCGATCCGGCTTCGAGCATCGTCGATAGCCCACCTTCCTTGGAGTCGATCGTCGTAGACCGCCAATCTTATTCTGCGGCTTTGATCGTCGTCGACAGCCGACCTTATTCCGCAGTTCATCGATCTTCACAAGCTCCAGGCTCTGATACCAACTGATGTAGTGGATCGTCGGAAGGTCCGGGTTCGTATTTACGACCCGTTTACCTAACCGGGTCGGGTTAGGGTCAACACGTTTGAACCCGGGTCAGTTCCGGGTCCGACCCGAACCCGACCCATGACCCGAAATTGACACCCCTAGTCGGAAGAATCGACCTGCAAGAAGGATTTCAATCCCAATCCAGGGAAGAAGAGGAACAAAAGCTTTAAAGTTTTAAAATGTCATAATATTCTTCAATGTCTTTCCCTACTACAATACTTGCTTATAGAAGCTAAATAGAACAATCTAGAAGATACTTGTGAGAAGCACATAACAAACTAATTAAAATATGCCTAAGGAGCAATTTAGTTAAGATGCTCTGCATCAACTGCCCCCCTAAAAGTTATAAAATACAATTGTCTTTAGGCAATTGCCTCAGCATAATTAAACACATTGTGTAGAGATGTTATTGTTAGGAAATGACGAACCAAATAAAAAGAGAAATAGTAAAAAGAATTCATCATTTTAAGGCAACTTCAACATATATTTTGTAGAAATTAAATGATCAATTATCTTTAACGATCATTTTCTTTTTCTCTTTTTTTGGGTCGTTATTGACCCATTTTCTTGTAGTAAAGGGTTCAACCAAATTTAAGGCAACACCAACATTTATTTATAAGTTTGCCCCCCTTAAAATTAAGGCAGAGTACGCCCCTAGCTATGAGAGTCACTGAAGGCACCTTCTCAGGTTGTAGAATAAGCTTGTGTGAAGGAGCACTGTCTTGTTGGAATGGCCGGTTGTTCCAAGCCTGTTTTAAAGGACCCTACCCACTTCCCAGCAAGAAAAGTGTCGTCTTGAGAAAGACCAAAGGGAAATTAAGATTTCGTTTGGGACGGCTTTCTTCATGTTTTTTTTAAACAGTTTTTTAGTAAAAAATTAATTTTTTTATACTAGAAAGCTACTTTAAGAAACATTAAAAAAGCCGTCCCAAACGAAGCCTAAGTTCTCGGATTAGTAGATAAAATTATTTATTTTTCTCCTTTTCACCCACTTCTCTACAATCTTTCCATTTCATTACCTTAGGCTCACTCTCTTTCAAATTTCGCTAAACTTTCATCCTCAAATCTGTTTGCATTGAGATGGTGTTGCCAGACAAGAAATTAATTTCCCGTGTGATTCGCGAGCAGATAAAGCTAATTATCATAATTTGAGCCAGCTTAAGTGGAAAAAAGGAGAAGAAATCTATCTATTCTAGCAAATTCATTACCCGTATTGATACTTAAGCATTATGTTATCTATTCATCGAGCAGTATTATGCCTTATTTTGTTCAAAATATTCATATCTTTCACTGAGGCTTCTGTATCACTAACCTGTACTACTCATCTTCATCTTCTATACTCTATAGTGTTTACTTTATCTAATGAATACGCTCATAATTTTTTTTTCTAAGTACCTATCTTTCAAAAGATTGAAAGATCATTCACCTAATTTTCTATTGAGACGATTTACATACACCACGATATAATCAAATAAGACAAATAAATGAATATATATATATATATATATAATTAGTTAGTTAGTTAGTTAGTTTTGTGTGGAATATGATTGTGTCGATTATTCGTGTTGTACTGGTGATTGAGAACACAATTCTACATGTTAAGCTCGGCGAGGGGTTGCAGGAAGTCCTCCCCCTGCTTTGGTTTGGGTGGGACCTAAAAGCCAAAAAAAGTTCCTCGTACAACTGCAGAGCACCGCTGAATTGTGTACCTGAGCATCCCGACACTGTATAGTTTGCTTGGAGAAAGGCAGTGAGAGAATCGTTGTAGGGATTCAAACCTCGACATTGCTAGGGGGCACTGCGACGCTCAAAACACAGACGCTGGGACATTGTTAAGCAAACTGGAAACAAAAAATTGTGCGTCGTAGCATCAATTTGGAGCGTCGTGACACCAGTTTGTAGCGTCGCGGCGCTACAAGATGCTACGAGATGGACTGATATTTTTCATTCTCATTTTGCATTAGGGTTGTGTCCCTTGAAAGTTTATTTGATGTTTTGTCTTTGTTTGTTTGTGAGAATGGTGCAAAGGTATAGAGAGACAAAGAGAGTATAGAGATATGTACTATATCTCCCAAAATTTTATAGTGAATTTATTGGTGTGGTGCGGCTCCGTGATTTTTCCCGGTTTCATATTTTTTTCAATTTAAGCCCGGTGTTCTTTCTTTCCGTAGCATTTACTCTTTCATGTTTGCGTTCACTTCGTGTTTTACTTCCCCCAATAATATAGAAGCTCAAGATTTACTTCCCCCAATAATATAGAAGCTCAAGATTGATAATAATAAAAAAATCTTTTGGACCTTGCACATATAAATTACATCTTAAAATGACATATCAAGGCAAGCAACTTAAGGCAAGATTTGAAAATGAGAAAAGAGCGTGGTTCTGTGTAGTTAAGCTGTAAAAATCAAATATTAATGCTGTATAAATTAGATATGTTGTATAGCTTTCCTTTTAAAAAATATATCATATATCATTTTTAAGCTGTCTAAAAGCACTTATGATAATATGAACTAACATTTTTTTCAAAGATTAAATATATATTTTGTGCACCTGGCAGCTAAAAAAAAAACAACCAAGTCGCCACATGGCATGGAAGAGCTCAACAAATTAGTGATTGGATGTTCAATTGGTGATGCTTAATAAAAAAATGCCCAAGTTCAAAGCATGACTATAACAAACCTCCTAATTGAAGGCTAGAACTAGAAGTAACCATCAAACCTTTTAAATTTTGCAAGAGGAGATTTATTATTATATAGTTTAGATTACTTTCAACAAAAAAGTGAAAAATGAACTTTGTGATTACATAGTTTAAAAAGCATGATAATATTATTATGATTTTATTATCACGTGTTCATCTACATCCAATAAAAGGAGTCTGAAATCAAAATTTAGGTTTAGAATATTAGTTAATTCCTTAAGAATTTTTGTTTATTTAAGGTTTTGAATGCAACTATATGAGATTTCCTCCTTTCTTTATTACCCATAAATGCTAAGGCTTCATTTGGTATAACTTTCTTATTATTTTATGAAACAATTTTATTGTACATTTTTTTTTTTAATTTGAAAATTTTGTACTAAAAAACCGCTTCATAAAGCATTAAGAAAGCTGTTCCAAATGAAGCCTATGGCTTCGTTTGAAACAACTTAGGCTTCATTTGAAACAGCTTTCGTGCTGCTTTTTAAGATGGCTTTTTAGTTAAAAATTTTTAAATTCAATAAATTTTTGTACTAAAAAGTTGTTTTAGAAAGCAAAAATAAAGCCGACCCAAACAAAACCAAAGTCAATCTAATATGTTCAATGTCATTGATCTTAATATCACATCGCATTTGTAATCATTTTTCTAGCTGCTGAGGAGTTTAAAGTGACTCATGCGCTCGGAATGCTGATTTTTCTCTATCCGATAAAGAAGAATTCCTTGAGACAACCAAAAGCATCCTTGTCTACAAGCACACAACATTTTGCTGTTAACAAGAACCAGATTCCTCTCGATCTCCATGATCAAACACCAAGGTTCTTGTTTCTTTTGGTACCCTCTCAACGTCGTTTCCAATCTTTTATATATTCTGTACTGTTATCACAGTGACAAATTTTGAGCAAAATAAAATGAAGCTAAAAGAACAAATACATCAAAGATCATAATTACATGACAGATTTACGTCGTTTGGTGATATTCATTTAAGGAGTTTATTGAGAAATCTCACATCAGAAGTAAAATAAGAGTTTAATGAGTTTCACTCCTTCTGATATATATAGTTCCTTCCCCAGCTTCCATAGTTACACCAATCTGAAAGTTCTGAAACTTGAATGGAGCTATTCAGACACCTCCACTGCCTTTTTCTCCTTCTCCTCCTCCTCTCGTTCTTCAAGACCTCATCTCCTTCACATGAAAAACCATTTCCTGACAACCATGACCTCAACACCCTTCTATCCTTCAGGTCCTCTTCTAATCTCTTCAACCCTTTTCTTCAAACCTGGGAAGGGAGAAACCCATGCTCTGGTTCCTGGCTCGGTCTCAAATGCAAACAAAATACAGTAGTGAGTATCAGACTTGACAATGCCTCTCTAGTTGGCAGCGTCACACCACTTCTTCAACTAAACAATCTCAAAGTCCTCAGCCTCAGAAGAAATGCTCTCAGTGGCTCATTGCCGCCTATGACAAACCTCACACACCCAAATTTGAAGCGCCTCTTCCTCTCCCACAACCAACTCAGTGGAACTCTAAGTATAAATCTCCCCTCCTTGCTCTCTCTAAGAGTAGAGTACAATGGCTTCTCTGGTGACCTTAAAGACTTCCATTTGCCTCTCACAATGGACTTCAACGTCTCGGCGAACCACCTTGCCGGAGAAATCTCTCCAACTCTTTCAAAGTTCCCAAAATCATCCTTTGGAAGCAATCTAGCTTTATGTGGATCACCTTTTCCAAGTTGCAAGAAGGCTGTAAAAATGCTTAATAGAGAAAAACTGGCTGACACCACAGTCCTCGCAGTAAGCATAGGAAATATAATTTTGATTTGTGTGACTTTTGCCTTTCTCGTTTTGATGTACTTATGGTTCAGAAAGAAAAAATCAATTTTTCAGCTTCAGTCTACTGTTCATAATTTTCCTCCAGATAAGAAAGATGAGTGTGAAATCGTTATATTTGAAGGAGGAGAAAGGCTTAGTTTGGACTGTCTTTTGAAGTCATCGGCTGAAGTGCTTGGTAAAGGAGTTTGTGGAAGCACTTATAAGGCTCTTCTTGATGATGGGAGGATCGTAGCAGTTAAGAGGCTTAGTTCAGTGAGGTTTGGAGCTCATGGAAAGGGACATTTCAACAGAAAAATGAGACAAATTGGAAGTTTGATCCATGAGAATGTTGTTTGCCTTAGAGCTTATTATAATTCTAATGAGGAGAAGCTTCTGGTTTATGATTATATGCCAAATGGAAGCTTGCAATCGCTTCTGCATGGAAGCAGTAAGTATTTTCTTGATAAATTAAGGCTCCGTTTAAAGCAATTTTTTAGTACAATTATTTATTTTTTTTACTAAAAAACTGTTTTAAGAAGTAGTAATAAACTAGTCCCAAACGAAGCCTAAAAATAACAACATAGAATGATTTTTTATCATAATTTTTAAATTTTTGTTTAATAATAAACATGCCTTATCCTTGTATCTCCCTACTAGAGGGATAGCCATTCACATTGTTGTTCAAAATCTTATATGCAAATACATATGATGGAAAAACATCTTAAATAATATAATTAATTATAAGAATAATGTAAAGATAAAATTTTCTATGTCATACATAATTAATATGATTCTTCTCGGATTTAGACTTCTCTCAGACAATTTTTTTGCTACAGTTTTTCTGTTATTTAAAAAAAATTGTACTAAGAAATTGCTTTAGAAAATAATAAAAAATTAAGAGATGAGAGTCAATCCTAATCCTTTTTTTATTCCACCATTAAACATGCTTGACTAGATGAAAAATGGCCACTAAGTATTATTGGTGAAGTCATTTTTTCACTGTATGATTTGAAGTGAAAATTGCATTTGCTTTATCATAAATTATTATTTTTGGCTATTTTCTTCTTAAAATTACAGAAAGTCAATGCAACAAATAAATCACATTTATTTTAAGTTTGAATTGCTTTTCACTTCCTTGGAAACAAACAACCTATAAATGTGCATGGAAGTGCGCTTTTTGTGATATCTTTCATATTATTTATGGTCAAAATAAACTTTTGATTATTTATGATGTATCAAAACATCTATTCTTTATAATTTTGTTTTTATAGTCTGCCAAACATAATTATGTTGATTGACTCATTAAATAACAAGGAGACCATTTTGATTATTTTTTAGAATGCAAATGTGACTTAGGCTTCGTTTGGGACAGCTTTCGTACTGCTTTTTAAAACGGCTTTCTAATACAAAAATTTCAAATTCACTAAATTTTTGTATTAGAAAGTTGTTTTAGAAAGCAAGAAAAAAGCAGTTCCAAAACAAAGCCT